ACATACTGGCAAGCATGGGAACCAGAGTAGGGTGCAGGCCTGGTGGGGGTTATGGGGAGTCGCCTCGACTAGGCTGGAGCTCCCACTGATTTGCGTGAGGGCCGAGTATGAAATAGGCAGGATCAGGCTGGACTGCAAGACCCATTGTTTCATGTGTAAAACATGGCTGGAAACAAAACTGAGCCAGCAATTGCAATCACCTGCATACGTATAAGCTGACTGGGATGATGGACCGTGCCAGACCCTGTACTGGCAAGCACACACAAGAATCAGTCTGGGATCACCTCAGACGAAGTTTCTTTGGGGATACCTCCAGCAGAACTGCTCATCTCAGAACCCCAACCATGAAGAGACTGTGTCAGTCAGTGGATTCTGAAGAGATTTCATCATGCTTGGAACGGCGACATTGGCAGCATTTCCAAACTGTTGAACTTGGAAACTGCTTCAGCAGGACCCTCAGAGCATGCCCCACATCGAGCACCCGGAATGGGTGGGAGGCTGGGTGGGGCTTCTCCCTTTGTATCTCCCCTGACCCCAGATACAGGAAAAGAAATTACTGTAGAAGCAATGGTCTGTCCCACTTTCCTGTGGCCCTTGACCCTTTGTGCCCTAATCAATTATGTAAAGATGATCAAAATGAACATATATATAAGCACATTCTTCTGATTAAATTCTTCAATGACTCATAGATCATACAGTAGCATCATTTTCTTCATGAAGCTTCTTGATTTTCTTCATCATTTTTTTCAGCGACACGTTACTCAATCAGTACCATGTTATTGAACTTGATGGTGTTGTTAATTTCTTTTTGGTTTTTACTTCCTGTTGTTGATTTTGTTTTGTGGCTTTTCATTTCAGGGGCTATAGAGTAACTGTGTAATGCAGACTATCATATTGAGATGTGAGGAAACAATGCAGTATGCATCTCGACTTCCACACAAAGATGGACTCCCAATCAAACTGTTTAGTATATCTTGACAATAGGCTGCTGGACTCTCTGCCATTGTCCATGCCCGCAATCATGGACAGAGGACTGTGCATGAAGAACTATAGTGTAGTAATGATATAGGGGAACTCAGAGAGCAAGGGAGAGGATTGGGAAGGGGATAAGGGAAATCCCAGGGCCTATGGAACTATATCATAAAATGATAATACTAAAAAGAAGTAAAATAATTAACAACAACAAAAAAAGAGCAGTTTGTCTCTTGACCCAGTGCCCATAGGGGATGCTGACACTACATTCATCCCTAGTGCTAGAGTGCTAGACATCTAATTCTGGGATTTTACCATACATATATATTTTTTTTTCTATCATTTCCCTTCATTTTAAAAGGCCTCTTTTGAGTAGAGAGAGGGAGAGCTAGACAGAGTGGTGTTCCGTGTTTTGGTTCCCTCCTCAAATGGGGCACTGTGGTTTCTGGAGGAGTTGCATTTGAGGCTGCAAGTCACTCTGCACTGCAAGTCACATGATATGCCGGACTCAAGTGCTGAAGGGTATCCGGTTTCTAGGGAGGAGTGGAATGATGACCCTGTCCCAGCCCCATTCCCTTGGATCCCAGCACAGTGCATTCCCAGCACACTAGATATGTGTATGAGTGTGTGCATTTTCAGTAAGTTTTGATTTTGCTGTGTGCTTTCAGGACCATTTCTTTGAAGATGTATTGATTTAGGGCCAGCTCAATGACTCAGTTAACTGATGTTCCATCAGCAAGGAACAGCATTCTGTATGGGTGCCAGTTTGTGTCCAGGCTGCTCCACTTTGCATCCAGTTTGCTACTTGTGGCTCGTGGGAAAGCACTGGTGGGTGACTCAAAGCCTTGTGACCCTGCACCCTCATGGGTGTCCCTGAGGTAGCTCCTGGCTACTGGCTTTCGAATGATCCACTGCAGTCTTTATGGCCCTGTGGGGAGGAAACCAATGGTTGGAGAACATTTTTGTCTCTCTTTCTCTCTCTCAATGTGCCTTGCCAAGAAAACAAACAAATGTGTTTTTCTTTCTTTGTTTCCAAAAAGAGGATGTACATTCTTTGAAATGGAAAGTGACAGAGAAAAAACTGGAGTGAGACTTTCCAGTTTCCAGTTGACTCTGCAAACGCTTACAATGGCCACTCACAGCCAGGAGCCACAGTCTCCAGCTGGTCACATTCAGAAGGCCACTCTCCTAGACAAAATGCATGTGTGTCCACTTGCCTGCATTCAGAGAGGCCTTCTTATTTCTGGCATTCTTGGCTGAGAAGTTTTCCAGGTGTCTCCAGCAAGACCTCCTTCCCAGCAGTCCAGGAACAACATTTTTTTTTTTTTAAGAATTATATTGTTTTCATTGGAAAGTCAGATATACAGAGAGGAGGAGAGACAGAGAGAAAGATCTTGCGTCCATGTGATGATTCACTCCCCAAGTGAGTGCAATGGCCGATGCTATGCTGATTCGAAGCCAGGATCCAGGAACTTCTTCCAGGTCTCCCACACAGGTGCAGGGTCCCAAAGCTTTCGGCATCCTTAACTGCTTTCCAGGCACAAGCAGGGAGTTGGATGGGAAGTGGAGCTGCTGGGATTAGAACGGGCGCCCATATGGGATCCTGGCAATTTCAAGGTGAGGATTTTAGCTGCCAGGCCATGCCAGAGGGCCCAACATTTTTTTTTTAAGAGTTATTTTTTTTCTATTGGAAAGTCATATATACACAGAAGAGGAGAGACAGTGTGGAAGAATTTTTGTCTGATGATTAACTCCCCAAGTGACTGCAAAGGTCAGTGCTATGCTGATTCGAAGATAGGATCCAGGATTTTCTTCCTGGTCATCCTCACGAATGCAATGTCCCAAGGCTTTGGGCTATCCTTGACTGCTTTCCCAGGCCAAAGTAGGGCACTGAATGGGAAGTGTAGCTGCCAGGATTAAAACGGGTGACCATATGGAATACCCGCACATTCAAGGCAGGGAATTTAGCAACCATGCCACGCTGCTGGGCCCAGGGACAGCATTTCCTACCTGTCACTCAGCATAGCCAATCCTGCTACCCTCTTACCACTCACACCCTGCCTTTTCTGGCACAGTAGGATTCCCCAAGCTGCTCTGACACCCACGACGCTAGTGAGGCAGTCAGCCCCTCTTCTGTAGGCCTCTGCTTTGGAAACAATGGCCATGAGTGGAGAAAGGATTCTTGCTTTCAGGCTGGCTCACTATCCTAACTGGCTTCTGCATCAGGCTACTATAACCAAAGAACAGGCACATCTAAATGATTGTGTTCAAAAATAAATACATGAATGAATAAGTAACAAACACACATTTATGAACACATTCAATTTATTTTTTCAAGTTTTATTGAAAAGGCAGAGGGACAGTCTTCTCAATCAATCTTATCTGAGACACAGAAGCATGAGATCTTCCTCAGAGTTCCCGGGTCTGCACAATACTTAAAAATGACTGTGCAGCATAAACTTCATACAGAGCCTATCATCCCAGTTGGCTCCCGAGGACACACGCATCCTCTGTATGAGTTCTCATTCTGCTTCCAATGCTGCCTTGCTGCTAATCCATGCTCTGCGAGGCAGCAAGGCAAGGCTGCAGAACTTCTCTCGTTTCGTTGGAGGAGAGCCAGGCTGAGTGTCCAGGTGCTGGTTCAGCTTGTCCTGGCCCAGGTGGTAGCAGGCCTTGAAGGGGACAATCAGTGGAGACCAGATCTCCCAGTGTCTCTCTGCCTTCTGAGTAGTTGAAAATTGAAAATGAAGCAGATACCTCTTAAGGTTAGGAAGCCAAATGAAGGCACAGTGCAGACTCCTCTGCTCTATCTTTGGGCCAATGCCTTGGTCATCAATTGTGGTTTTGTCAAAGACATGTATGAACAGGTGTTTAGAGCTGGGTGCTCCTTTTTTCCAAGTAAGCAGCAAAAGTGTATCTGCAATTCAAAACAACTTCCTTTTCAAACATCTCAACTTGATGTCTATGCAATGACCGTTTTGGTGAGCACTCTAACAGTCATTTATAAGGAAGAAACTTCACAAGTCTTTGTGATAATTGCTGTGAGACATCACAGCAGCAGGTCCACTCCATCAGGAAATCTCAGCTCAGCTGTGCTATGCGTGTGCTGGGACTCCATCTTGGCATCGACAGCTTTCACAGGACACTTTGGCAAGGACAGCTAAGAGCTGGGACGCTAGCACATTGATGGGAGTTCATAGGTCTTGATGAAGATCATTTGTGGAATTTCTGATGCTGCCGTACATGGTCAGATCGTGCAAAAGCCTTGTTGCATTGGGGACACAGGTAGGGACGCTCCCCGCTGTGCTTCCTCTTGTGTCTGGTGAGCTCGTCTTTGCGGGAGAATGTCCAAGTGCATCCTGTGATGTGGCATGCATAGGGCCTTTCCCCTGCAGAAGAGACAGAGAGTGAGACTTGTCCCATTTCAGGGTAGAGGTGCTGTGGGCAGGCAATGTTGAAAGTGCAAAGGTTTTGAGCATGTCGTGAGAGGAGAAATAGTGGGGTGGGGTGGGGGCGAGTGACACACAGAGAAGCAGGACAGCTTGAGATGGAGGGATGAGAAGAAAGCCATGCAGCCAGGAAAGGAAGAAAGAAAAGTAGGAACAGTGGGAGTAGTAGCCTAGCCCATGGAGGAAGAAGGGTGAAGGGAGGGCATTGTAGGGTAGGTTGCTCTAGAACAGGGTCCATGAAGTGGCAGTGCCCTTAGATGAAGGGAGGCTCGAGAACCTTCATAAGGAGCCAAACATAGTCCCCTACTTGTTCCTATCATGTCAGCACAAGCTATGCCACCGCTTGGGAAAGACAGTGCAAAAGCATCCAGGTTTTGGGCCAGTGTCACTTATGCACCTCCTCTCTGTTCTTAGCTGAACACGGGTCACTGTGGCAACCATAAGGGTGTGGTGAACCCGCAGAAGGAAGGGCACTCTGTCATCTCACCCTCTGCTTCTAACTCTTTATCATTAAACTTGCTGAAATACCAAAAGAGAAAAAGCATGAACTTTTCCCCCTAACCCTGGGTCCTCACTCACCTGTATGTCTGCGCTCATGGATTCGGAGGTGGGATGGCTTGGAATATGATTTGCCACAGTCTGGATAGGTACAGATGTAGGGCTTCAAGCGCTCAGGGACCTTGTGCAACTGAGAGTGCTGGGTCGTCGGTAGGTTGCAATCCTGCTGTGCTGGGAGTTGTCCTTGCACCAAATCAGAACTTGCAAAGCATTGTGGAGTTTGTGCTTGGATCCAAGGGTAACTTGAAACAGACAGGCACCCTGGGGCTGGCCCTGAGTAGAACACAGGTGGCATCATATAAGCTCCTTGGAGGGTCTGGTCACAACCGGGCATCACCATCTGCACTCCATAGAGGTTGTGGCTTCCTGTGGGGCTGATGATCTGGCCTCCACTGAAGGTCTGGTAAGCTGTGGTGGTCATCATCTGACCCCCATGGAGAGTCTGGCCAATGCTGGGAGTCATCATCTGGATCCCAGTGGGGATCTGATCAAGTGACACAGTCATGACTTGACCACTGTGCAGGGTCTGTGCACACGGTGTTGACATCATCATGTGCCCAACAGAGAGGGCCTGGTCAGCCGTTGGAGTGATGGCTTGATCCCCATAGAGGGTCTGCCCACACATGGGGCTCACCATCTGCATCCCACAGAGCTGCGGGTCAACCGTGCTGGGCATCATCTGGCCAAGTGAGAGGTTCTGGTGACTTGTGGGTGTGACCACCTGACCCACACGCAGGGTCTGATCACCAGCACGACTCAGCCCAGGCATCTCTTGCAGACTCTGCTGATTACTGGAGCCATTGATGTGGCCATCCGACGTCATCTGCATGCTCTGGAGAGTCTTCAACTGGTCACCTTCACTGGGGATGGCTGTCCTGAAGGCAGCGGCATCTGTCTTCTCACAATGGCTTGGGCAAGTCTCGGCAATGTCCATGCCACCCATCATCTGGGGGCCTGTGCTGGGCTTGGTCTGATCCCAGGAACTCAGCATCTGGTTCATGCAAACTGTCTGCTCTGGGACTCCGGGAGGAGTATTAAGGGCTGCCACAGGCTGGGCTGTGGAGTCCTGGCTGAGCAATATGTCCAGGAGGCTGTCACCCGGTGCAGAAGTCATGGTTGTGGGTGTCAGGCTAGGCATGCCAAGGCTCTGCATGGACACATGCCAGCTGCCCTCATCGCATGCAGCTGGAGGCATGTAGAGCTGTGGCTCTGGTACTGCTCTCATTTGAGTCTGTTCCTTCTGTGCTGAAGAAATGTCCAGGGCACACTCGTTGTCCTCAGCTGTGACCGGGAAGGAGGACATCTCTTCACTGTTACCCAATGACAGAAATATAGCTTCTGTTGCGGGATTCTGCAAAATTAAAAAAAAAAAAACAAGAGTTCTATAAATCATGATTGACGACAGAAGGAATTAGTAAGAAAGGAAGGATGAGAAAAGAATGTGGAGTTAGTAGTCCACCTCATCCTCAATTCGAGCCCCATCTCCAATTCTCCATTCATGTCAGCACCCGGGGTAGCTAGCCCAGAATTTCACTCCAGCAGCATTTCACCAGAAACCTGCCATGGTCTCAGCTGCCTTGTCCTTCAGAAATGAACTCCACCCTGTGCATCCTCTCCCCGGAGTTCCTCTTTCTGAGTTGTGTTGATGGGCCGAGAATAATGTATTGTCCGTAAAAATAGAGGATGATTTTGTTGAGTTCCTTTCCCGATGAGGGATGCAATGGGGCACATGCGTGTTGCCTGCACTCCCACCACGGGGTTGTCTTGGGAGAACCTCTCATCAGGAGACACGCCAGTGGGACTTTCCACAAGTCCCAAAGGTCCATCTGACAGCCTGGAATTGGCCTGCAGACTTTTCTGTTTCTGTGGGCTGTGTCCTGCATCAAACAGCCACAAGGCAGCAACCTCTCAAGCAACCTAGCACTCCTCATGCAAATATCCCATCCCCACTCTGGACTGGAAATGGAAGCCACATGCCTTCCAGGCTCAAGTCCTGAAGATTCTGTCAGAGCAAGGTTTGCAGACCCACTAGGGCTCACGTGAGGGGCCACTCACCTCCTGCTTCTGCCTCAAGTCTCAGTCCAGGGTGGTGCCCATAAGGTCAGCCACACCCATCCCAGAAAAACAACTAGACCTGAGAGAGTTTTCCACAAGAGCAGTCCTGCCGAAGCTCACCCGGCCTGGACCCTGCCCACTGTGTCACCATGGAGACATAGCAGCCTGGGTCAACCCTCTGCTATTGGCTCTGACATGAGTGCATGCAGGTGGGACAGGGCGAGCATCGCTAGATGCCCTGGACTAGGGATGGATCAGAATGTGGGCCACTGAGTGCTTGTTTGACATGGATAGAAGGATTTCTGGAAGCTTCCAAGCACCTTGTCTCCTTACCCACAGATAATGGTGGGAGCTGAGATGGGGCAGATTTGAGGGAGAATCTGAGATCCTCCTTGGATCCTCCCAAACCATCTGAGCTCCCACGCACAAGGGCTGGGTGTGGCCAGGCTTGGTCTCAGCACCTGCTGGAATGTTGTGACTGGGCCTTGGCAACTGTGCTGTGTGGTGTGTGTGTGTGAGTGTGTGTGTGTGGTCTGGCTGTGAGGCGGGACCAGAGGAAGGGCCTCCTGGTGCACACAGGGGCTGGATGGGAGCATGGGCTTGGTTGTGGTTTTGCTGGTGGTGGCTGTGGTTCTTGGTTGCAGTTTGGGGTGTTGGTGGCAGAGGCTGCCTGAACTGCAGCACCAGTGGATGTGCTGTGACAGCCAGGATCAGCCCCACATTTCCCCTCCCCCACCTCGCAGTCCTGCTAGGGAGGGCAAGGTCTTTTCTCTTACCTCATTCCTCCTGCATCTCTTTCTGCTTGAGACTATAATCCCCTCCGCCATACAATACACATTTTTAAATAACTATGGGCATGTATGTATTGATCAATCAATTATGCTTTTTAAACAAATGCATCGATTTACATATCAATACATTTGATAGAAGCAAAAACTCCCCCACATTTCCAGATAACGCATTATTCTCAGCCCATCAGCACAAGGTGGAAAAAGGCGCTACTCTTGCACAACAGCTGCTTTAACGGCGTCACCCTCTCTGTGCCCTTCCATCACCTACAATGGCGTGTCCTGCAGCCCCCAAAGCAGCTGTGGTCTGTGGACTCTTGGAGAGCAGCCAGTCCCTTGGGCGTCTTGTCCCAGAACACACACACGCAGCCCTGTGTAGACCTGTGTCTGCCTGGAGGAAGGCCCACGCACGTGTGTGCGAAGAAGCGGTGAAGAAGGCCCAGAAGGGGCGAGGTGCGGTAGCCTAGAGGCTCAAGTCCTCCCCATGAACGCACCAGGATCCCATATGGGCCCTGGTTCTGGTCTCCACTTCCTGTCCGGCTCCCTGTTTGTGGCTTGGGAAAGCCGTGGAGGACGGCCCAAATGCTTGGAGCCTGTGCCCACATGGCAGACCCACAGGAAGCTCCTGCCTCCTAATCAGAGCTCAGCACTAGGGGTTTGGGCGACTTGGAGAGTGAATCGTCACACAGAAAATCTTTCTCTCTGTCTCTCCTCCTCTCTGTAGATCTCACTCTGCAATCACATTGTTAAGTCTAGAAAGAAAGGAGGAAAGAACAAAGAAAGAAATGAAGACAGGAAGGAAGAAAGAGAGAAATAAAGGAAGGAGAAAGAAAGAAGGAAAGAAAGAAAGAAGGGAAGAAAGAAAGAAAGAGAAAGAATGAAAAGAAAGAAAAGGAAGAAAGAAAGGAAAGAAAGAAAAGAAACAAAGACAGCAGTCCGCTAGCGCTCTAAGGGAATCCCGCAATCAATAGAACCCTCTCCCTGGCATAGAGGCCCCAAGAAGTGCAATTTTGTCCCACCCCACTTCCCCAAGGCAGAGATTGCACCCCACAACTTTGCAACCCACAGCGCCCGTGTTGGCGGCACAGACCTACCTTCAGCACAATCACGGAGTAGCTCAGAAACAGAAGCAGAGCTAGTGGTCCCGGAATCAGACGGAGAATCAAAGTCCAGGCGGTCAGTGATGACTGTGGCTGCTGCAGGTGGAAGCCACTGGGAGCTGTCAGCAGTCAGGCCCTCTTTCTTATAGGCCAGGCCCATGGGAATGTGGACGGTGATTGGCTTTTGGGCTCGGCCACGCCTTCCAGGGGGCGGAGCCAAGAGCATCAGCCAATGTCCTCAGAGCCCTGGCCTCTGGGCGGAGCTAGCGGGAATTCGGATGTTCCTTTCCCAACAAGCAGATGCAATGGGGCACATGCGTGTTGCCTGCACTCCCACCACGGGGTTGTCTTGGGAGAACCTCTCATCAGGAGACACGTCAGTGGGGCTTCCCACAAGTCCCAAAGGCCTATCCCACAGCCCGGAATTGGCCTGCAGACTTTTCTGTTTCTGTGGGCTGTGTCCTGCATCAAACAGCCACAAGGCAGCAACCTCTCAAGCAACCTAGCACTCCTCATGCAAATTTCCTTCACCCATACTCGACACAATGTCTGGATTTGAGCATGGGCTAATCTGAGGATTTTGTTCAAAGTCTAAGGGTCTATTGTGCCAGTGGTTGCCTGAACTCTAGCACTTGCTGATGTCACCTGGAACCATGATCAGCTCAAAATCTTCCCTTCCCCATCTTGTGTTCCTGGGAGGGAAGTTGGGTCTTTTCACTCACCTCATTCACGATGCACTTCTTTCCTGCCTGGGACCACAGCGTCCTCAATCATAGAACCAATATTTTTTTAATTAAAAAAAAATTTTTTTTTAAAGATTTATTTTTATTATTATTTTTTTTTATTGGAAAGGCAGACATACAGAGAGGAGAGACAGAGAGGAAGATCTTCCATCCGATGATTCACTCCCCAAGTGAGCGCAATGGCCGATGCTATGCCGATCTGAAACCAGGAGCCTCTTCTGGGTCTCCCACACGGGGGCAGGGTCGCAAAGCCTTGGGCCGTCCTCGACTGCTTTCCCAGGCCACAGGCAGGGAGCTGGAAGGGATGCGGGGCTGCCCGAAGTAGAACCGGTGCCCATATGGGATCCCGGGCGTGCAAGGTGAGGACCTTAACCACTTGCGCCACCGCGCCGGGCCGAGAACCAATATTTGTAAATAAATGAATGTATTGTTTGAAGAATCCAAGTATTTTGGGCCCGGTGCGGTGGCCTAGTGGCTGGGTTTCTTGCCTTGAATGCTTCAGGATCACATATGGATGCCGGTTCCAATCTCGGCAGCTCCACTTCCCATCCAGTTCCCTGCTTGTGGCCAGGGAGGTCAGTCAAGCGTGGCCCAAAGCCATGGAAGACTACACCTGAGAATGAGACCTGGAGGAAGTTCCTGGCTCCTGGCTTTGGATCAGCTCAGCACCAGCTGTGGCAGTCACTTCGGGAAGGAATCATCTCTCAGAACATCTTCCTCTCTGTCTCCTCTCCTCTCTGTAATTCTGATGTTGCAAAGAAGTAAATAAATCTTGTAAAATAATAAATGTATTTGCTTTAAAATAAATGTTTTTACTTTAGTATAAATATGTTTAATACAAACAAACAACCCCATGAAACATCCGGATTGCAGACGATTAAATAAGATCCATTAAATAAGGATCTTCAGACACATAAAGTTGTGGGAACCAGCTCACAGCTGAGGCCGACTGTGTGATGAGCAGGTGGTGAATATGGGGCTGCAAGAGGCTTTCCTGCAGGTACATGGCATACTGTTGACAGGAATGGAATTAGTTGTTGTTGTTGTTTGGTTTTTGGTTTGTGTTTGAGAGACAGAGCTTGCATCCACTGGCTCACTGCCGAAGAAACACCAAGGCTGGTAATTGGCTCAGGCTGAAGCTGGGGACTGAAAGCTTCCTTTTGGGAGTCCTGCCTGGGCCCCAGAAACCCAATCATTTGAGTCATCACTATGGCCTCCCAGGGTCTGCATTAGCAGGATGCTCTATTCAGAACGGGAGTTGAAATTGAAGCCAGGCTCTCTGACAAGAGATATGGGCATTTCCCCTCTAAGCCAAATTTCCCAAACAGTTTTTCAGTTCTCTCTTTCAGTTTTTCAGTTCTCTCTTTTTCAGTTTCTCTCTTTTCCTCTATCTTTTTCTTTCTCTCAAAGGAGGAATTAGAGAGAGAG